TTCATACTCTTTGAATACTTTGAAACAAAGTAATAATCATTCAAAACAAGACTCATTACCAGGTATTTAGTAACTTAACTGTGCCTTTGTTATAGTAGGACAAACAGACTGAAGAGTTGGGAGGAAGGGACATGGGAGGCATGTTCTTCTCTTTAACCTTGACAGTAGTTACATTGTCCATCTTATTTTTTTTTTTTTAGTAGTTACCTTAATTAATAAAGCTATTTTTCAGGTCAGATATTTGCACATTTTGTACTCACCATTTAGATATATTCTATCATTTAAATATTTTCTGAGGTCTATTGCTCAGAAAGATGACATGTTTTGAAAGAGATCTATGTTTATATCAGGTTTTTTTTTAATTTAAATATTTTATTTTATATAATTCTTACATCTTTTTTCATCTTTGCACAATGTATACATTTTCATTTTGGTTATATTACCCATACAATTGCACCCCCCCTTATTTTGACTCTAGTCCTTCCTTTCCCTGCCCCTCCCTCCCCTCCCTCCCCTAGTGTGTCTCTGGTTTATAGTTGCTTGTTGATTTTGATTTTCACTTTGTCCATCTTATTATTTGTTAAACAGTATATATGTATTATATATTTTTATTTTTTTTACAGTACAGTATCATCAAAAAAATTCCTTTATAGAAACTTCTCTAAGTAAACTGAATAACAATCTCACTTAAATTTATTCATTCTAACTATGCTTTAGAGATTTTAAGGAGACGAAACAAAAAGCAAAAATGAACGAAAAACCTCAGTTGCTCTCATTTACATCTTTCAAGAAAAATCTCAATGTGGCAAGACAGATTTAAAACATTCCAGGAAAGTATTAAAAACTAAGATAATTTAATACTGCTAATTCCCTCTCTCTAAATATTATACACAAAATGGAAAATGCACAAATTTACCTCATTTTTACCTGGCTTATGTTTTCTAGGATTTTTAAGTGTCTAAAGAAATGGCACTTTCATAATATTCTTTAATTTGGGAACTGTAGCACTTCCTGTTCTCTCCCAAATATATCACTGTGCCCTATTTATAACAGATCACCTTCACTGGTGAGTACAACCTAGAGCTTGAATGACTTCTTCACTCTGCAGTGAGAAGTTATGCTTCTAAACAATTACTGTTATAACCACTGATCAATCTGCTGAGAGCAGAGTCTTGGAATATTGATTCTATTGCTTAAGACCATTTCACATGTCCTCTAGACTGCCATTTAAACCACTTCTCTAGAAGCTGACAGTTAATGACCGTTTTACTTATAGCTGATGAGAGAGCAGTTATTTCCTGGCAGTATGTCTTTAGATCAACATGATTTTTCCAAGTACAAGCTTATCACTGCCACGTGGATAAACAAACAGCATTTTTGTTCTTATCTCTTAGATTAGAAATGGAAATGCTCTAAGGGGACATTGTCCTATTAACTTGATCTAGGTCTTCTTCACTAATACAACCTTTTTTTCAGAGCTGTTAGTCTTATGTAAAAAAAATACCATAACCAAATATGTTTATTCCTTTTCTGTTCTGAAAACAAAGGAGAATGATTCTTCATTTGTCAGTTCCTCTTTCAAAGTTCTAAGAGTAAAAAATTCTTATTTTAACTAGAAATAACCAGATATTACTCTATTTAGCTGCAACAACTCTCAAAAGAGCTGTACAAAAGAGAAATGTGGCTTCTACCTCCAAAAGTCATTAGAGATAGAGATTTTTTTTGTTCTTATTAAGGCACCCAGACCACATAATATTACACTGAGCCAGAGGACCAATTCTCTTCATGGAGTAGAATAGCAATTGGCTTTTTACTCATTAAATTCTTACAGCAATGAGCAATGACTTGCTTTTTCATTTTGTTTCTCTTTGAATAGTAGATGAAGTTGATTTTTTTCCAAGGCGACTTCCCATCACCAGCATTCCTGATCTTTGACCTATGTAGCTATTAATATGCTGTCCACATATGTTTGGGATCCTTAACAACCAGAGTTAACCTTTCTGTTTACTCCAAGTCAGTTCTTACCTTGTTAATGAAACTGATTTTTTTCTTTCTAATCATAATAATTTTATCTAGTTTAAAAAAGTTATATATATATATATTATATATATATATATATATATATATATATATATATATATATATAATCCATTGGTTTTCTGAATTTTTTTTCCCTAAGAATTTTAGGGGTGGATTCTCATATTCTATTTAAGAAAGGATGGATTCTCATATTCTATTTAAGAAAGACATGTTCATTTGTGATAATTCCAAAAAGTAGGTTATTATAGCTACCTTTTATGTGTTTGGGGGGGAATTGCTAGAGGCAATATTTTACCTTTATTCTTGTTTTTTTTTTTAAAAAAAAAAAGATTTATTCTTAAAAAGTTAATTCCTTTGCACACAGGTGAAGGATTATATTTATATTTTCTGGAGCTAATGATTAAAAAGCAAAATATTGGAACTATATCAAAAGACAATTTGTTATAAGTGTCTGTGTTCAAAGGCACTTCTCCATACTCAAAACTCACCCCTATCACTTTACATTGTAATTGTCTAGTAGCCATTTGCACCCTAAAAAATAAGTAGCTCGTGGAAGGTAGGATTATATCACAATGACCATTTTATCTGCAGGCACATGGTCTGGCAGTGGTATATAGTCAATAAGTATTTCATTGGTGTTAATTTTATATTCAATTCAAAAGTCTAATTTTTCACTAGTCACAATTTTAGTTAGACTAGATATGCCCAATTTCTGACACCTAATGATCTGTTCCTAAATAGTGAGCATCTTCATGGGAGGCAACAGAAACAATATTAATTTATCGGTTTTGAATCTTTTTGTTCTGATTGAGCCTCTCTACTCACTAGTGGCAATCTTTGGCCAAGTCACTTTAACCACATTGGATCCTGTGTCCTAAATCATTTAGTGGGAAAATGGATTAAATAAATCATCTCCAACTATCTAGCTGGGTCCAGCCTTAAAACTCTGATCAGGCATGAATCTGTAAGAGTACTACTGATAAAGCAAACCCTGTCAACACTAGAGGGAGCCACATTCTTGTCATCACTAGGGATAGTTGGGAAGATTTCAAGGCAAAGCATCTTTAAATGGAAAACTGACTTTATAGGATGAGAGAAATTAAGTATCAAGTGAGAGGTCCATATTCAAACAGCCACCCCATCATCTCTCTCTCATAGATATCAGAGCACCTCACACTTGACTTGCTGCAGGATTAGCTTTTGGGCTTTAATTCTAATTCTAAAAGAACCAAGTTGGCTCGAGTCATTTCTACAGATTTATTTCCCCATTCAATCTACTTTATTTCATAATCAAATTAACAGCAACAAAATATAAAGTAATCAATGCTATTATCGGGAAATTCCTGAGGAAATGTGATAGAGGAGAAAGAGCCGTATCACACTGAAGCTGTGATCTAAGATCAGTAGAGTTAACTGAAATTGAATTAATTAGCAGGCCTGCCAATCTAACCCAAAGCTACCACAGCTATTTTATTTTATTTTATTTTATTTTAAGATTTATTTATTTATACAAGAACTGGGGTACAGGTCAGATGTGCGGGAGGATGAGAGGATTCACCAGAGATAGAGTGGGGAACAGAACAGGCAGACGGACCCAAGACACTGTAAGGGGAGCAGCAGGAGAGGCAGGAGAGGTCTGCCTTGCGCCATGTGGGTATTTTAGAAAAAATAAAACTACACAAAAGAGGGACAATATTGAGGAAAAGAAAGAATCAACATAGCTCTACACTGGGGAAGAGGAATGCCTACCCAAGCAAATGGCAATCACAACCCTCTTGGGTTCTGCTCACATTAAGAATCTGGCAAAAGGGGGCCTCCCTGGTGGTACAAGGGGTTAAGAAGCAACCTATGAAGCTGTGCGCAGCCACTGCAGCATGAGTTCGATTCCCCAGCCGGCCAGGGAGGTGACCCATATGGCTCAGCAGACCTCTCCTAACTTGCCCGCTGCTCCCCTTAGCAGTGTATATCAGTTAGTTTGCCTGTTCTGCTCCCCCACTCTGTCTCTGGTGAATCCTCTCACCCGCCACTCTGCATCTGTGGTCTATACCCCAGTTCTTGTATGCATAAATAAATAAATCTTTAAAAAAAAAAAAGACTCTGGCAAGAAAACTGTCAAGTGACAAGATAAGGGTAGGGAAGAAAAAATGAGAAAGAATTTCTAAAGTTAAAGCTTATTTAGAAGTTATTTTATACACACACACATACACACACACACACACACACACACAAACAGTCCCAACTCCAAAAAACATCCATGAGCTGGAAAATGTATACCCTAAACTGTTATAGCACAGTGATGTGAAGAAGAAAAAAAACCCTCTTCAATGATACCAACTTATGTTTCTTTTTGCCCAGAGGCACAAAGCCATGTTAACAAGATGGAGAGGGCATAAACCAAGGATATTACAGAATGTGCTCTGTGTAAGAAAGATAAATTCAATCCTGAAGAGCCTCTTGTATTTAAATTTCATAGATTAACACGCATAAAGCAAATTCTCAGTAGTTTGAAATGGACCATCTATTTTTTAGGACATGGCCTGTTCCTGAGTGAAAATAGATTATAAAGCAACTTTGAAGAGTGACTTTGTGGAAGAAGAAAAAAATCTACTAGAACAAGAAAAACAATTCTTTTTCACTGAAAAATGCAAACTTAGGTCTCCAGAGGTAAAACACAGAGTTAAAACTCACCAGGTTAAATCAAATTATACCTCTGGATTGAAGTAGTTAGGAAACTTGTTTCTTATTTCAAGTACTCCAGAGAAAGTACGCATCTTTAACAGAGTCATAAAGGTTTCTCTTTTCTTTTAGGGTATTAAAGAAAGTTTTTCTAAACAGCGTTTTCCATCTTTGTAGGAAACATAAAGAAAATATACTTTATTGCTAAAAGGAGAACAACTTGTTTCCTTCCCTTATTGGGGACACATACCGAAGATTTCCCATTCAGTCTGCTTCATACTGACCTTTAATATGTTTCGGCCATCAAATGATTCTCTTTCCTTGAAGATATATTTGCCATCTGCTGTATAGAGATTGTATCTGCCTTCAGCTGTAAATATTCCAAAGATAATGTTAGAACAGAAGCTGGGTTATTTATCTATTTATTTTAGATTTCTATAGGTCAACTAGCAAAATTTTCACTGTTACGGAAAGTGATTATGTAGAGGGAAAAACATCAGTCTGTGGGTCAAGAGATCCAGGGGCTAGTCGCAATTTTGTCATCAACTCATTCAATACACATTTATTCATTCAACATTGTCCAAGTACCCACTGCACATTAACAAAGTAACTGGCTATGTTGTTAGGCAAATTATGTCTCCTCTGTGGACCTCAGTTCCTCATTTACAAAATTAGAGGTTAAGATTAGGTGATCTCCAAAGCTGCTTGTAATCTAAAACTCTAAGACTTTATATAAACTACATGCATTTTTAAATAGTTCACACATTAACTAGTCAAAAACGCTGACAACCATGCTTTTGGTCAATTTAAGGATGCCCTCCAAATGAGAAAGGTCCCTTTAGTTGCAACATACAGACATTCTACACTAAAATGTAGCAAATCTATGACTTTAGCCTTATGAAAACTGCACTCTAATTCCTTTAGTTAATTTAGCTTGCTTATTCCGAAACAAGTTTCCTTAAAGTATAGCAAGAAGAAGGATATGGATAAGGGGAAAGAAAAAGCAAACTTCTTATTCCATGTCCTTTTCAATATTCAAAGCATCATCAAGAATTATTTAACTCAGAATTTTTTTTTTTTTTTTAAGATTTATTTATTTATTTATACAAGCACTGGGTACAGTCAGAAGCGTGGGAGGGTGAGAGAATTCACCAGAGCCAGAGCGGGGAGCAGAGCAGGCAGAAGGACCGAAGGACACTGCTGAGGGGAGCAGCGGGCGGCAGGAGAGGTCTGCGCGCCATGTGGGACCCTCCTCCGGTGGCCGGGGAGCAGCCGGGGATCGAACCGGCGCCGCAGAGGCCGCGGGCAGCTTCGCAACCCAGCGCTCAACCGCTGCGCCACCGGGGAGGCCCTCAGAATATTTTTTGAAACATCAGCCATGTGAAATGATTACAGCCACTTTGGAAAACAGCCAGATAGGACAGTTCCTCACAAAGTTAAACACAGTTAACATATGATTCACTCTTAAGTATATACCCAAAAGAAATGAAAACATGCCCACATGAAACCTTGTATGTAAATGTCACAGCAATGGTATTATTCATAGGCATCAAAAAACGGAATCAAAACAACACCACCAATGTCCATCAACTGACTGAAGTATGGATAAATAAAATGTTGTATATCCATATTCAGCAATAAAAAGGAATGAAGTATGACATGTGCTATATATAACATGAGTGAAACTTGTAAACATCCTACTAAGTGAAAGAAAAAAATCACATATTATATGATTCTATTTATATGAAAATTCAGAAAAGGCAAATTCATAGGACAGAAAATAGAGTAATGGTGCATAAGACTGACGGTTAAAGGAAAATGGGAAATCACTACCAGTGTGTGTATGTTTTCTTTTGGGGGTAATGAAAATGTCTAAATTTGATTGTGGGAAACATGATCCAGCAATTCCACTCCTAGTTATATACCCAAACAATAAAAAAAATACTGATTTGAAGGGAAATATTGTACACCTATGTTTACTGTAGCATTATTTACAATAGTCAAACTATGGAAACTCGTAAGCGCTCCAAAATAAATGAATGGATCAGGAAGATGTGGTATATATATATATACATACACACACACACATACACACACACACAATGGAATACTACTGAGCTATTAAAAAAGATAAACCTTTGTCATTTGTTACAACATGGATGGAACTGCAGGGGATTAAGCTATGAAGTAAGTTGGAAGGTGTCACTTATATGTGGAATATAGAAAAATAAAACAAAGGGTCAGATAAAGTCAAACTAATAACAAACCCAAGAAATCTGACAGTAGACTGAGACTACCAGAGGGATGGGGAGGAGGAGTGAGAACAAAGTGGGGTGGGAGCACAATCGACTATGGGTACTTTGGTGGTGGGTGCAACAGAGTAACAATACCTGAAGGGTGGGAGATCCTAGACCTCTAAAATACAAACAATGCTATAAACCACTATGACCTCAATAAAAAAAATTAACTGATTGTGGTAATGTCTATATAACTCAAATCATTGAATTTTATACTTTGAATTAGTGAGTCATACAACACACAAATTATATCTCAATATATGAAGATGTTATATTTTAAATATCTAAGTAGGAAAGGATAATAATAGACTGTGAACTCTGAACATTTTCTCATATGAAGCTCTAGGGCTAATTGAACAGAAATTGGGGATTTATAAAATTTAGAAGATACAGATTCCTAAGCAATTCAACTCTTTTATGTCAAGAGGGTAGTTAATAATGGGGTATGGTACAGTTGTGAGTGCGCTGAACTAAGATTTAAGGAGTAGAACAGATAGAATGTACCACTAATAGCATTAACTGTATGATAAAATTCTTCCTATACCTGCACTGTGCAAAACTAGTAGCACTTGCCACATGTGATTATTTAAATTTAAATTTAATTTGGTTAAATTAAAAGCTCTCTTTCTCAGTCTCACTGGCTACCTTCAATTGCTCGAAAACCACATGTAGAAAGTGGCTATTAAAGTGGACATCAAACACATAGAATATTTCTATCACCACAGAAAATTCTAATGAATGGTGCTGTATATGATGTATCTATTGAACCAATGAATTCAGAATACACTCCAGAGTTCTGAAACTACCTCTACATAATGATGCACATCACCCCTGGGATCTAACTTGGTTTCCAAAATTAAAATTGTCCAAAACAAAATAAATACCATACCCTCCTTAAAATGTTCCCACTAGACAAGCTACATTATAATATGTAAATATCAAATATTCCAATATTCTGCAACACTACTATTCAAATAAAAGAAATGTATTCCATCACAACAAATCTAGAGCTCTGGATACAATTAACTACCCACTCAAGAGTCTGTAGGCTTTGATTGGGTCATTTTAATGTTTTTTGATCTCAGAGTTCCTACAGATATGGGGGGGGGGGAAGAGCACAAGGGAATATGGTAATGGACTATGGGTGCTTTGGTGGTGGGAGAACTACAGTGACCACAAATGAGAGGAGAAATCATATATTATCCAAAAATTAATAAAAAAATTTAAAGTAAAATGACTTACTTTTAAAAGTCTTCAATAAAATACAATTTAGAATCACTAAACATTAAGGGAACTAAAAATTGGACAGCTGATAATAGCTGTTAGTCTGATAATTAGTCTGATAATAGCTCTAATAACCAAATGGGGTTAATATAGATGATTTTAAATTGGGATCTCTGGTATATATCTGAGAGAAATTAAAAGAGGTACCCTGACCAAAAAAAAGACATGTAAACTATCCTAAATTCTAATTCTGCAAATAGTATATGGGTTCAAGTTCAGATGGAGTACTCTTCCAATCTAGACTTTCTTAAACCAAGGTCAGGGCCCTAACAAAGGAAATAAAACATGAATATGGGATATTGGTACTGGTATATTTTAAATAAGTTTTGGAAGAAGCTGTATGTAAATTCAATGTGTGGTTCCTGATTAGATGCTTAATATGCTAGAAAAACTTTCACTTGGGGGTTGGGAGCGGGAAGAAAAAAAAATATATTTTAAGATGTAGATCATTATCCCAAATCAAGGGTTAAAACAATGTATGAACACTCAAGAGTCCATGAGGGGAAAAAAACTATTATTTTTAAACAAGGTTTCTCAACCTCGGTGCTAATGATATTTTGGGCCAAATATTTCTTTGTTGGGGCGGCGGGTGGGGGGGGGCTGTGCTGTGCACTGTAGAACAATGAGCAGCATCCCTGGCTTCTACCCACAAGGTGCTAGCAGCAACCTGCCCCCTTGACTGTGACAACCAAAAAAACATCCCCAGGCAATCCCAATGTCCTCTGGGAGGCAAAATTGTCCCTAGCTGAGAATCACTGATCTAACATTTATTTTCATTAACTGATTTTCTTTTCTTTTTTAAAAAAAAGCTACCAAGTATTATATGGGCCATACTTACACTACAATAATTACTGTTTGTGTAAAATTTATCTGGGCAGCCTGTATTTCTATTTGTTAAATCTGACAGTACTAGTGACTAAAATAAAAGATTTGGAAAGCCACGATCCAATGCTAGATATGTCTCTGCCCACTTTCAGTGTGCTCATCATAACAAGTCAATAGATCTGAAAAAGAAGATCTCTCAAGAGATTCGTGGAGAGTCAGGGATCACAAACAATGCTACAGTTCTATGGAGGACTTACCATTGGGGTCTTTTCTGAGTAGAGTATTCATGACTGTAGCATGGAGTTTCACACTATTCCACTCTTTCACCATTAATCCAGAAGCCTGAAAACGTTCCAGAACCCGATCAACTAATTCCTGCAGTCTACAGAAATTGAAGAAAAAGAACAGATATCTTAGGAAACTCCTAAAACCCTAATTAATAATTCAGCAATGTTTATGGAGCATCTGCTACGGGTAAGTCACTGTACAAGGCTCTGCATGAGAAGAGGAAAAAGGCCATAGTGTCAATTATAACAGAATTCAGAATCTTTTTAAGAAGAAAGACATGGAAACAAATAACAGTATACAACATCATAATGAATGGTAAGGGATTGATCAACTACATAGGAGGGCCAGGTTTTCACAGCACGTTTAAACATGGTCTTGAAGGAACACAGAAAATCATCTTGGGAATAGGGGTCAAAAAGTCAGTCTTAAGAGGGAATTGCCCAAAAGGAAGAGCTTTTTGTATTGGCTTATCCAGTTACAGAACCAAATGCTACTATGGTTAATGAGTTTCTGCCAAGATCAAATAAATCTGGTAAATTTGCTCAAATAAGAAGGAACGTGACTGTGAAAGCTCCAGTAGTCTTGATTACCATGCCAATGTTTTAATGAAGTGGAGGTGTAGCACCAATGAAGACAACCACATGGAAAATCCATAGGCTGCATGACTGATTCCCTATATGGACGCCTGGTGGCTCTAAGCACTAAGGGTTCTCCAATGGTTGAGTAATATCTCCATGATGGCCATTCATTCTAATAGCTCTAACAGAACCAATTCTAACCCAAAACCTTTTTATTCTATTCATGTGTTTTGATCATCATATTAAAGAACCCCCTTCAACATTTCTTATAAGGCTGGCCTTGTAGTAACCTCGTTCAGAATTTTTTTTCTCTGGAAAACTTCAGTTTTGAAGAACACCTTTGCCAACTGTGATAATGAGGGGTTGTTATAATGGCAGACCTCAGAAAGCAGTCTCGTCTGTGACCACCCACTCATTTAATGGTAAATTAGATGAACCTATGGCTTTTGCATAATATGCCAAAACACCCACCATGGAGCCTGGAAAAGCACTCACTGAACACCGGTGCTGACTTGGATGTGCACATCAAATGACAGAGCAGTGCACTTGGTGAAGAGTGCAAGGAGCCTACACCTTTAAAAAAAAAAAAAAGACTCATGCATACAAGAACTGGGGTATGGGCCAGAGGTAGGGGGGGGGCAGGGTGTTTGTGTGTGTTTGTGTGTGTGTGTGTGTGTGTGTGTGTGTGTGTGTGTGTGTGTGTGTGTGGATTCACCAGAGACAGAGTGGGGAACAGAACAGGCGGACTGAATGAAATACACTGCTGAGGGGAACAGCGGGTGAGACAGGAGAGGTCTGCTGTGCCATGTGAGTCACCTCCCTGGCAGGGGAGCAAACTCATGTTGTAGTAGCTGGCAATAGCTTGACAGTGCTGAGACTTAACCCCTTGAGCCACCAGGGAGGCCCAGCCTACACCTTTTAACCTTTCCCTTAGCCTTTTCTGAGATTTGTGTTGCATGCTAATTGACTTCCCTGGATCAAAATAATCTTATACTCGACACCATGAATAGATTTCACATTTTTTAGGTTTTACATTTTTGATGTATTAGGAACAGTGTTTGTGTCAAATACTGCTCCTTCTCTTGTATGCCAATAGCCCTGGGATATTTGCAGAGCTCATGAATCTTCCATTGCTTTCTAGGCTGAGATTTTGTGGTAAGCACTGTGGCCAGTGAGTGGTATGTCCTCAGAGCAGGCCTGGATGGGTTTGTTTTATGTGTGATATGGGCTCCAAGTGGACTGCAGCCTCTGGTACCTTCCCCCTTTGTTACCTTTCACTCACTTAGATGTGGGCAAAATCACCCTTTTCTGTATATGCTGCTGCAAGAAGGAATTAGTCTAGAAACTGAATTAGAAGAACAAAAGATTCTCTTCCTTTTCATGCTTTTTATGTTCCAAAGTTCCAAATTAATCTTCTTAAGGTTCTCTTTTCTTTGTCTTAATTGTTTTAACTAAACACTGTCTACTAACCAAAGAATACTTATAACACGAGTAAGCCATAATTAATAATAAAATAAATAGCCATGTCCCTACCATCCACCTTCTAAATAGAACACAGGGCCAGGACTAGGGTGAAGAGCGGTATCTTCCCTGGGCACAAAATTTTAAGGGGTGCCCCCACCAAAACTGTAATAGACAGAAATAATGTTTTCATGCAATATTTTTAAAAGTCAAAATTAGGCCTCCCTGGTGGTGCAAGGGATTAAGGTGCAACCTAAGAAGCTGTCTGCAGCCACTGCAGCACGAGTTCTGTCCCCTGGCCAGCCAGGGAGCAACCCACATGGCACAGCAGACCTCTCCTGACTCGCCCGCTGCTCCCCTCAGCAGTGTACTTCTGTCAATCTGTCTGTTCTGTCCCCCACTCTGTCTCTGGTGAATCCTCTCAACCCCCACACCTCTAGCCTGTACCCCAGTTCTTGTATGCATAAATAAATAAATCTTTTTTTTAAAAAGTCAAAATTAATCCCCCCCTAAATCCATGGGGATATCCATGAATAGGCTATCAAAATTCTAAGTGAAGATGAGACCTCTATTACTGAGTTTTCCTTCTGCCTCAGGCTTGGCATGGTATAGAACAGTACAACCTTCTATTCCCTCGGGATGCTCCCCGTCATGGAGACCCCAGTTATTCCCTGCTGTCAGCCAGAGCACATGGGAAAGCCCCATGACCTCAGCACCTCTCAACGCACATTTTCTTATCAGGCTCCTCCACTCAGCAACATGCCAACTACACCTCGGTGCCTTTTGTTCTCTGAGCCCCTCACATCTACCCTGTTTCCTCTACTTTTGCAAATCTTATATCCTTTCAGGTCCAATTCAAATCCCACTTTTCCATGCAGCCCTTTCTAACTACCTTAGTATCCCCACTCCCCTATATCCACGAGCAGTGATTTTTGCCCATCTTTGATACGCTGCCTCACTTACACTGTATGCATTACTTAGTATTCTCACAGATGGTCCTTAACATTACACATTTGTCTGTCTCATCCTCCTATTAGATTATATGCTCCTCAGGAACATGTTATATTTGTCTTCTATCTACCATAATACCATTATACTTGGCTTTTGGCAACTATTGGCTGTGAGTGATTAACTGGTGGATTTGATTGATTAAAATGTGAGAAGTGAATATAAAAAATAAAATACACCTGATCTTGAAGGATCATTAAAGAATCACAGATAAAACCAGGGAAGAAAGGACACTTCAAGCCAAAGAAACAGTATCTGCAAAGCTGTCAAAGTATGCAAGATCATAACTTACTTGTAAAAATGTCAAATATGTGGTATAACTGTAACAAAGTGAGAGAAGAGGGATAGTGAAGATGGATATATAAGCAGTGGTCATATCATGGGAAGCCACAGAAATTTTTTAAAAAGGAATGATGTGGTTAGATGTCCATTTGAAAGCTGATTCTTTAGCAGAGTGGAAATGTTTTAGAAAAGGAAGAGACCAGACCAGTGATACAGCCAGTCTATATTATAGTACAGCTAGAGCAGGACTATAATAGAAATAGCAAAAACAGTGTGAAAAGCACTGTTAAGTACTTTTTATCTGTTAAGTCATTTAATCCTCATAGGAAATTATTGTTCCTATTTTACCATTAAGGAACATGAGGCACAGAGAAGTTAGAAAATGTGGCCAATGTCACAAAACTAGTAAATGGCAGGTGCAAAGTTAGAACCCATGCTGTCTAATTTCAGGCTTTATAAAGTCAATACCATGAACAGGGAACGGATAAAACTCTAAACCATGGCAGAGGCAATCAGAACTGAGACAACGGCACATATTCAAAAGAGCTATGTGAGAGAGAAGCTCGTGCCTTTCATATGGTAGTGTAAGAGAAAGAAAGGGTTGAGACTGACGTTCAAAAGTCTGCCTTAAATGATCAAGTAGGTCACAGACTGAGTGTGTGAACTGATAGAGAAATAATTGCTATTCTTACGTTGCGTTGTTCTGTTTTTCATATGTGGCACAGGGTTTCAGCTAGGAAATGTTGAAGAAAAAGATAAAAATAGAAGCCTAAAGCTCAAGAGAAAAATCTGGGCAAAAGACATAGGTTGGAAGTCATCAGTGCAAAGCCAGTAGTTAAAAGCATAAGATAGATGCAGCCAGTGGGGAGAAAGGATTTGAAGCAAGGCAAAAAAAAAAAAGCTAAGGACAGAGTCCTATAGAATATTCCCAGGTCAGGGGGAAAGAAGGGAACCAGCAAAAACAATCAATAAGGATGAGAAACAAGAAAAGGAATACTTCAGAAAGGCTGGAAGGAGAATTACAAGGGGGGAGAAAGGAATAATCAACACAGTACAATACTGTAGAAAACTAAAGTAAGAAAAGGATCAAAAAATGCTACATACTTCTCACAATCAGAATGTTATCAGAGATCTGTGGCAAAGGAATTTACTGGCACACTGGAGATGCAATCCTTGTTAGAGAAGACCAAGGGAAAAGCCAGAGCAAGGAGATGGAGTAAGTACACATTAACTCACCCTTTCAAGAAACTTAAAAGGAAGAAAACAAACTAATGCTTTGGTAATTTGAAGATAGAGTTGAAAGCAGGTTTGTATTTGAGGAGAAAGAGTTGAAAATGCTTATTGACAAGAGGAAATTATCCAATAAGGAAGAGGAAACTTTTAGGCAATGAGGGGATTGACAGAACAGCATCTAAAAGAGGATAGAAGAGCTGATAGCTTAACAGGTGATAAGAAATCAGAGGTGGGCAGAACAAGTCCCTGCCCTTAAGCAACTTACATTCAAGTAAGAGACACAGACAGTAAACAAATACTTGTCCTATATTATTGGGAGGCGCTAAGAGCCATGAAGCAAAGGAAATGGAAAAGTGGGAGGAGAGGCTGGAGTGGGGGAGGGAAGGGAAGTACTACTTTAGACTGGCTGATCGGGGAAGTTCACAGAAATAGACAATAGTTCCTAAGGGAACAGCAGTCCAGAGAAAGGGAATAACAAGTACAGACACCTGAGGCAGCATAGGTATAGTGACTGAGAAACAGTAAGAAGCTA